GGGGCGCTGCCGCCGCTCTGTTGGCGCCTTTTTTTTTCCTGAGGTGATTTCGGGGGAAAAACGCGCTTTTCTGTCCCTTGGGGGTGAGGGGGGCACCCGGTGCCTCGCCTAGGGAAGCCCGCGGCTGCGCTGATGCCCCTCATGGAGAGAGAGAGAAAAAAAAAAAAGACACGAAACAGAAAGGCATTTTCTAGGGCAAATGTGACGGTCACCGACCTGGAAGAGCTTCAGGAGCTGCTGAAGGTGAACATAGAGAACAACAAGCACCTTGTCACAGGGTCAGTCCGAGCCAAGGTACTGAAATGGTTTGTATGAGCCTTTTAATACTCCCCCTTACCACTTGGCTTTATCGGGGGCTTTGGGACATCACCTTCCCCTCCCTTTCTCTCCTACACTGCCCAATACATCCCAGAAAAACTGTTCTGAAACGGAGAAAAGTAGTAAATCTTGTTACATGTTACTTTTCTTTCAAAAAAAGAATGAGGGTGTTGTTGCTGACATCTTGTTCTTGGCTCTTTTTGCTTCTTCTTAGGGGCGAAGACGTAACAGAGTTTCAGCCTCCCCCCGATTACATCCTCATGGCCGACTGCATCTACTACGAGGAGGTAAATGAGGTAACGGGCAGGCAGCTGGCGTGGGGGGCGCGTGGGCTCGGCGTGACGCGTGTGCGATGGAGCCTGTGCAAGTAAACACCAGCTTTTCATCTTGTGCCCGTGGCTTAGAGGAACGTGTAGGAAAAGATATTTTTAACTGGCTTGAGGCCATTTGAGATCCGACCAGGGGATTTTTTTTATATATTTTTAAGTTTTTTTTTTTTTTTTTTTAGCATTGTGCCCATTATCATTTTTATTTTAATCTTGGACATGAAATGTGAAGGAAAAAGAAAGTGATCTATAGTTGTGAACTGCCTTGTGTGTTACTGAAAGCAATTTAAGGAGCAATGCCGTGTCCACGCTGTTCTGCTTTTGGGGCTCGCGTTGCCCCATCCCTAGGGAGAGGAGGGAGAGAAAACCATGGTTGAGCCATGGGCTTTGGTCTCCTGCCCCATCTACGTAGCTGTGGCTCCATAGGAGGCACATGAGGAGTCAGCACAAGCCCTAGGAAAAGGGAAGTGCTGTGAAGGACTCCCGTGTCCTGCTGCCTGCTCAGCTCTTGCCAGCCCCTTTGGGCCCTCACAGGTTGGTTCTGTTTCCTTACACAGTGGTCTGGCTATGAGCCATATTCCAAGGCTGGTTAAGAACACTTTTGCTTTTGAGAAGTGTCAAGAATTGGAGTCATCCTTGTGAGCCTCAAGGAAATCCCCACTTGAGCAGCATGGGGTGATTGTAGGCTAGGTGTTAGTTCAGTTTTCTTGGTCAGTCTGCAAAACCTTTTTTTTTTTTTTCCCCCTCTGTGCAGTCCTCACTTTTTCATCTATTTTCCAGCTTCCCTTGTGTTTCTTTTGTCCCAGATAAGATACTAAAAATAAATGTCTCAGAAACAAAACTGGAAAGTTCTCTCCTGGGTGAAAACTTTCTCTAGTTGCAGAGCATGGTATCAGTAAAATGAACTTGAAACCTAAGTGGCAAATACGTAACCTCTTTTGGGCAGTCCTTAGAACCGTTACTGAAGACACTGAAAGACCTCACTGGCCCCGATACATGTGTGTTATGCTGTTATGAACAAAGGACTATGGGGAAGAATCCTGAAATAGAAAGAAAATACTTTGAGGTGAGTACACTCTAACATGTGCTTCTGAACACCGGGATAACAGTTTGGTTATAGGAAAACTTCCATTGGCTCCGTTGAGCCTTGGTGTCAGTTCTGTGTGATGTGCAAATCCAAGTTCACAGCACAAATAGAGTTTGCACCAAAAACCAGGTGTATTTTCAGATGGTACAGAAAAATTGAATGGTAGTTTTTGAAGTTATTATCCATCTTGCCAGTAACGACTTTCTGGATACTTTGTGAGTTTTATTTCCCTCAAAAGCTGAAACTGACCTTTTTTACCCTCCTAGGTTTACCTTCATGGAAGTTTTCAAACCCAGCAGGCAGACACTCATGTTGTTAAAAGCCTCTGTAGCTTCTGGTTATTTGCTGGGTGTACAAAAGGGCTGCCCCATAAGTGAGACAATATCTGTCAGGAAAAAAAAAAAAACTTTTCAGAAGGTGAAGTAGCATTTGTTGCCCCTTTCTGCAGTGGTTGGTGTGATGCTACTGGAGGCTAGTGGGAGGGTTAAACACGGTTCTGTGGATTTTTTTTTTTCCTTTTCATATGTTCTCTTGAAAGCCTAGACAAAATGCAGGGAAAGTTATCAGAAGTGTTCATGAGTCCAAGATTTTTCTGTCAAGTGATATGGCTGTTCTTGGGGGAAAAAAAAAAAAAAACCTCCAGTGAGAAGTGTTAATAGGTGATACAACTAGTCTGTTTAATTGTATCTTCTGCACAAGAAAAGATCCCAAGCCCCAGTGAGTTAATAGCTGAATTCCTCCAAAGGTGTTGCAGGTTCTAGGGATGGCATCACAGAATTTGACTGCATTTAAGTGTGCTGAAAGACAGCCCTTCCACAGGATTGCTGGATTGTGTGCATAGACAATACCAGGAAAGAGGGAAAGGGGACGAGTAAGGATCCTTGGAAGATTTGTCCATGTCAGTGGAAGCACTTTGATAATTAGCCCTGCCTTGGACAGGCTGTTGTGGGGACGAGGCTGTGAGGAGGGCTGCCGGGATTGAGCTCAGCTCTGATGAGGTACTTGCTGCTCCCACAGTAAATGCGAGAGGGGGGGAGTGTTTGTGGATGTTTTCAGTTCCTCAGAATTTATTTGCCTTCCCTCCTGCCCCTCATCCGACGGGGCTGGCAAGCAGAAGCCGTCATTGTGGTTTGGTTTAGCGCTTCAGAGCTTTGAGGAAGCAAGATCTTTTATCAAAAGCTTTAAGACTTAAATGTTGCAAGATGTCTGTAGCTTTGAGGTAGTGCCGGGTTAGTTAAAATGAGGGTAAAAGTAAGGAGAAAAATGGCCTGCAGAGAAGGGGGCCGAGCTTGGCAGCTCCAGGCTCTTGGGGCTTCCTGTCTTTGTGCAGTACATTTTGGGACCTTTTGGACTGAATATGTCCTAGCGCATGTTCGTTCCAAACAGCACCATCATTTGGGTTGTTTTGCTTGTGCTTTAACAACAGTTGCTGCAGAGAGACTTTGAGTTGGAAAAAATTCCTCTGGATAAGCATGATGAGGAGTATCGGAGTGAAGACATTCATATCATGAATATCCACAGGAAGCAAACGGTAGGTTGCTGTAACTGTTTTAAGAATACTGCCAGAAACTCAGAGTTGCTGTTGATTTGGCATGGTTTGAGCCTTCCATGGTTTAACTTATAAACTGTGAAATGACATTAGGCACCCTGTGAAACTACAACGCGGAACTGCGCTCCTTCAAGGAAGCTCTTTTGTTCCAAAACACAGTACGTTGCCAGGTGCCATCTTTTGTCTTCAGCATCTCTGATCTGCTTGCTGACTTCCTGCTCTGCTTCTGCACTGTGCAGTGCAGCAGGATCTCCAAAGTGATGTCTCGAGGTGCCAAAGCAATACCAATAATATGCCCACTGCATTTTTTTTTTGTGCTATGTGATCAGTTGTACTTCCCAAAGCCAATCTGTAGAGAGGTACTGAGCAGCCTGTCAGTTTGAGTTAGGACATTTTTGGGCCAACTGCTAGGGCAGACAGTTGTGCATGGAGGAGGTATTTTGCGTATCGTGCTGACACAGCAGGTGGGTCCAGTGTGGTCCAGCAGGCCATTTAAACTGTGTGCCTTTTTAAATAATCTCTTCACAGAATTTTTCATCGTGAGATCTTTGACCACGTTATGTATCCTCTGGCAACTGGCTAGAGCTCTGGAGAGGAGGGGGAGACTATTTAATAACACCATGAAGGGACTGTCTCCAGTGTGGTTTCTGATTCATCTACAGAGCATCTTCTAGATGGTGGGCTTGGCAGGAGGCACTGGAACATGTGGACTCCTTAGCCTAGGTCCATTCCTAGCACCTTTCTCGGAGGACAAACATGATCTGTTGATACCTCACCGAGGCAGGGGAAGGCAAAAATGGAACTGAAGTTTTAATATAGGCCACCGCTGAGTTTCTGTTCCTGGTTACCTCTGCTGGGCGGCTGCTTCTCAGAGCAGCAGCCTGCAGAAGGGTTCCCACAAAGCAGATCTGAGGATACCACAAAGAAGGCTGTGTGTGCAGAGCACCACGGGAGCCAACGGCATCATCTGGGCCTCCTGAGGAGGAAGCTCTTCAGGTGGGCTGAAATCTACCTTCCAACAGGCCCGTGTGTCCGGTCAATAAAATTTTTGTACTTGAAATGGGTCTTGGCTGGTGACTTTATTTTATTTTTTTTTCTTTAAGCTTGTGGTTTCTGTGTTTCTGCATTGCAGAGGTCCTGTGAGTCTTTTTCTAAGAGCAGGATCTTGTGGTAGGTACTGTGCAAATGCAACGAACAGATGGTCTCTCTCCTTGTGAGAAATTGTTCTTTCTTTTAATTCCATCTGTGTTTTCCGAGTATCAGGAGCTGCAGCGTTCAGATTTGACACCTTTAAACTATTCTTGCGAGCGTGTTCATTGTTGCCATCAGTATTCAGCACCAGGCTCCTTCTCCTTGTTATGCAGTGATTGCTTTGAGATTTAATTTCAAAGAAAGTCTTGCTCTGCTCTGCCGTGGAAGCACCGCGGCTGCCTGTGCCATCCTGCCTCCCTCCAACCGTGCTTTGAAAGTAGGTCTGCTTTGACAGAGCTGCTGCTTAATATGAATTATAATAGTCTGAGCCTCTCCTGATTCATCTTACAAACAGCACAAGTGGTTCCCACTGCAGCAGCTTGAATATTTAAGCTTGGAACTGCTGAGTCTTCCCCAAACCTCAGCTGTTGGTTGTGGATGGAGCCGTTTTGGGACGCCGTGACTGAACCCGCTTTCCTGAACTCGGGATTTCTGTTTGTGCCCAGCCAAAACGCTCCTCGCAGCCCTGGCGCTTCGCGCGGTGTCGCCCCCGATGCAGAGCGCAACGGGAGCTGATTAGCAAACGCACGGCAAAGCGAGAGCGTAATTTGTCGTAACCACACGCGTTATTTGTTAACTTGTTATGAAAAGAGCTCCTTAATTAAGAATTGGCCTACAGGAAGATATTTACTGGCGTGTTTATGCCAGTATGACTTCCCTTGTGGAAACTTTTTCTAGGATAATTTGTCCAAAGGAGCTTTATAAGGGTATTGCAGGAGCTGTAAAAGCTGGGAAGGCTTCCCCGCCGCCGCAGGTGCCCGGGGGCTCGAGCTTGGGTCCGTGCCAGGGGCAGCGGTGCTGCAAGCTGCCGCTCCCCGCCGGGGACGGTTGCGGACCAGCCGTGCGCCTAACGCAGGATGTGGAGCAGCAGTTTTGCCGCGGCCGAAATGACGGCGTTTTTGCCTGCAGCGCGACGCGGCGCTGGAGCTTCCTTACGTGAGGGCTCTGCTCCCCTTTAGAGAAGGGCAGAAAGTCGCCCGAGCTGCTCCTGGGTGGCCTGGCCTGGTCCCTGCAGCGCGGCCGTTAGGTGAGAGCGGCGGCTCCTGTCCCCCCGTCGCGC